TGTTTGGGGTTGATATGGGAAATGAAAACAACAGAACTGACTATAGGAATCAAAGGCCAACAAAAGAAAGAATAAAAAAGGGGGAAGATGATAAAAAAAACTGAAAAAAAAAAAAAAAAAAAAAAACAGACAAAAAAAAAAAAAAAAAAAAGGCTAAATAAACTGAATAATAATAATAATAATCTTTAAATAGTGTCACACATTTATTAAATCTGATAATACTAAATTAAATAGGAAGCCTTCTTCCTTTCTCTGCTCCAATCAGACGCATGCTCGCCTCTTCGTCGCCTTGACAACAACCAGCTGGACATCTCAGTGCTGCTTAAGATTTACCTGAGGATAGACAGGTAAGACCGGAGCTCTTATCATGGATCTTGGTTTAATTTTTATTTTTTTATTTTTGTATTCTGCTCACCTGATCGAGGGCTAGTGCAAAAAGTTGTCTATCCTGGCGAAGGAGCAGGAACCGGACCGAACCCGAGCCATGAGCTGAACGCACTCTGTGGCCTGTCCGAGCGCCAGCATCAACGGAGGCTGCTTGGGAAGGTTCTGGGACTCTGCAGCAGACAGACAGCATGCTTGAAGTTTTAATCAAAGCATCAACAAATGAAAATGTTATTATCCTGCTGGAAGTTCTGTTTTAGGTGAAGAAAACTCCTGCATGAGGAATCTGTTAGATGGGGCCCTAATCCAAATGAATTTCAGATATATATCCTGTTTTGTTTTTTTAGATCAGCATCTCCTTTCTTTTTCTACGCCCTCATTCAAATCAGAAACTGAGCTGAAACTAAGTTAAACAAAAAGTTAAAATCTTTTTTTTTGCATTTCTGATCTTTTTAACCGTGAAGTAGTACAGAAGTATTTAGATAACAATTATCTTTGCAGACAGGTTTAATCTAAAACTGCATTTGGAATAATAGGATACTACAAAATTAAAAGTTTAAATATACTTTAAAGTATCCACTGTATTTTTTTTTTTTCATATTGCCAACAAAAAAGTATAATAAATTTTATCCAAGGCCAGGTCTGTGTGAGCCTCCACAAAGCTTAGCGCCTCATCATAAAATAAAGACATTTGGTCTTTGCTGTCGACCACAGGGACAAAACGAGCCATTTTCCTGGTAGCAGTGGAGAGAAAACACTCAAACAAAGTCAAAGTGTGTTTGTTTTTAATGTTTACCCAGAATGGCGCTGTTGAGAGCGGAGCAGAGTGATTCTCTCTGTGTGGGGTCCAACTGCTGGCCCACTGGGCAGTTCCAGGGGTCTGAGTAAGCCAGCAGGCTAAATGCATCCTAAATATACACAGACAACCAGAAAGAGTTTTTAGTTCATATGACAGCACATGCTGCAGCTGCTGTATCCGTCTGCAGGGGATAAACAGGAGGCATCAAGGATCTGGTCTGTTACATTTCCCCATTAAATTATTATATTTGGCCTTTTTTTCCACTGATTGGTTCCTTCGAGGAGTGCTGCAGCCAATCAGCTCTCATAACAACTCTGTTAACGTGCCACTCCCATCCACTGTAGCTTACAACTCACTTTACAGATTTCAAACCTGGAAACTAAAGGGGGAAAAAATCATCTCTGCTGTTCCAACTTAACAACTCTCTTCCAAATCCTGACCAAGAAAAAAAATTTGCCCAGTGTCAAGAACAAGCAACAAGAACCGCTAAGACATGTCTGTCAGAACAAAATTATGTCATTTGTTCTTGCAAGTGTGCAAGCAAAAAAAAATTGTCATATTTCTTGGAGTACGCAGCAGTCTTTAGTCTGGGTGTGGTTCTGCTGGAGGTTTCTTCCTGTAAAAGAGGATTTCTCCTTTTTCCTGTTTCTTCATGCATGCCTGATATGACAGATTGCTGCAAAGTCAAAGACACAATAAATTCCCAATACGAGGATTTGATTATCATTTCATCCATCAAAAATTAAAAGAAGAGCCTCAGTTAATATTGCAGGATGTAAAAAATGGATTGCAAAAACCATGTCTTTGCTTAAAATTAACATCCTGACAGCTCCTGAGAGCTGTATCTGCCCCCTAGTGGTGAATATCTGTCATAACACTATAATGACCCACATAATTCAGCACATTATGAAATGATTCCAATAACACTAAGCAATTCCTCCGTGCAGCTAGGGTTAGGTTTTTATTCAGAACTTCACTATATGATAAATCTTCACACTGATTGTTTGACAGCTGATGGTATCATTTTAACATTTCTACATAGAACCTTTGACTGATGCCCCAACACTTGTCCAGAAAGCCTTGAAATACATTTGTTTTCATTATTCCCATAGCAACAGTATGATTTCAAAGCTAATCAAAAAAATTACCTAACTTGGGATGTTTTCCCCAGTGAATAAGTTAATGATTCCAACCTTAAATTTGGAATCAGATCAACCTAAAATAATTTAACCTAAAATAATTCATAAAATAAAACTTAATTTTTTTTTTTCACTTTGGTAACTGGGGAAACACCTTTTACCCACACTGGCTGTGTCTGAACGTCAGCCCTAATCCTTAAATCACTACATAGAGCAGGGACTACATAGTGGATTTTATAGCAAACTCATTTAACTGACCGTTCGGAAAGAGGCTAACTACTAAAAAAGACATAACATGATCCTTTGCGAGGAGAGATCTTGCAAAGCATTTTGGGATATATTTGCTCATCTAGTGACCATCTATGCAAACTACTGGATTGTGGGAAATTTTAAGCCCAGCACTTTTTCATCCACATTCATATACTAGTATATAGTGCTATATATAGGGGTTAGGACAGACGTTCAGAAACAGCCACAATCATTTTTATCTTGTGGAGACAATAAGTTGTAAATATTTTTTTTTTCTATTTTTGTGTTCTTGTATGTATTTTTCCCGTATTTATTTTGTTGTTGTATATTCTTATACTGTTCTTTGTATTTATTTTTGTCCTGGTTCAATAATATTCTGTAACTAAAGGTAAAGTTTGATTTTTTTGTGAATTTTTCAGAGTGAATATGTGCTCCTTCAGGTAAAGATTCATTTATTAGGAGCTTTTTATGCCACCTCATCAGGGGCACCTAAAGAGTGAGATCTGCCTCATCTTTCTAATCTGGAACAGGAAATGTTCCCCCCAATATCCTAAATAAATATAAAGGCTAAGTAACTAAAGATTAGATACCTGAACCATGTTAGATCAGATTTGTAATGCTGCGTTAACTTCTTGATCATTTCTTTTTTTTTTTTTCTGAAGTTAAGGTAAGAGAGTTTGGATTTCAGCCGATACTAGAAATCTTTAAAGTTTTCCTCCTTTCTTCGGCAGACCCTCTGATAATTTGTGTACCTGTAACATCTTCTTGTGCGTGGTGTTAGTGCCATAGTCGCGGCACAGTTGTTCGCTGAGCGCCTGCAGCTCCCGCCCAAACTGGATCATCCTCTCTGTGGCTGCCTGGTTCCCTCCACAGAACTGTTTGCCATTACTGCGGCTCCCATCTGCAGGAAATTCAAACCCTGCATTAGGATGTGCAGCTACACACAACATGCAAAAGACACACATCAGCCCATAAAGCGAGTCAGACCAGAGTGTTTTTGTGCTCCAGTGACACCGTTGCAGATGCTGTTATCATCGGGCTGAAGGATCTCTTCATGTCTGTACGTGCCATTCATGATCCGGGCCGACGAGCTTTCGACGACACCATTGGTGTAATGCTCCGCTTCGATCTCCATCTCACTGTCACTGGTAAGAACACAAACGCGTCAGACTCAGTTTTTTACTTTTGTTATATATTCAGCAGATATCATATGACACCTGGGATAACTTTCAGAAAACGAAAGATGCTTGGCTGGAGTAACATTTTTCCGTCCACAGATCTGGACCAGATCTGCTTGAGTCATGTTTAACAGGTTAAAGCTCTTACAATTGTTTTACCAAATATGTGGGTAAAATATACAAAATATAACACTATAAGTTATGCAATTATTATGAAGCATTACATAATAATAACATTAATAACTAAATGATGGTTCTTATTCCACGGGACAGGGGCAACCAAAGGTGCTTTCTGACTGAAAAAACTATGGAACATGAATCATAGATGATAACAAGTAGCAAAGGAAATCATGGATCTTGTTAAGCTCACAGGAAGAAATAAGTGGGTTCTGATGGAAAAAGGACGTTTCTACAACAGGCGTCATAAGTGGACCACAAAGAGATGGAGGAAGTCAAATTGCTCTGTTGCTTTCTGTCCGTTTTCAATAATGTTGATGGTTGAGTCCATGGTGGATATAGGAAAATTCAGTGAGATGCTTTGGGCAATGATGTGGTATATTAGTATTCCTCATATGCTTATGTTTACAGTGCCCTGCAAAACTATTCAAATCAATATTTTTCCCCATATTTTCAAAATTCATACTCCTTCTTTAGTCAGTGTTTAGGTAGAACCACAAAGCTGGTTAGTTGTCCATTTATGGAAACAGAAGGAGCTGAGAGCATGATGGTTAAGGTGAATGGTCTGTATTTGTAGCGTGTTTTAACAAATGCTTTACACTATATACACCAATTCATTTGCACATTCCAACCATGATGATGGCCAAATACAGTGTAGGCAAAGCTGTCCATGGCTGACAGACTGAAGAGAGGCTCCGCTGGGCGAGGTCATGGTACGTTCACACCGCATGTGCCTCAAGCAGCAGAAGCAGCTGGTATACATGCAAAGTCTATTGTTGACGCGCATCAAGGCGTATCAAAAGCTCCTGCATCGCTTCTCGAGCAGCAGTAACAGCGCATCTTGATGCATCTAAGCAGCTAAGGCGCATGACACGCTTCACAATCAGCAGATACTGAATTTTTGCTGCTCGTCGTGCCACATCAACCAATCAGAGCAGCTGATCCAGGAGCTGGCAGCGAGACAGACAGAGTGCTGCTGATGCAGATCGCAATGATCACTGAAACAGTTTATTAAATTAACTTAAAATGTCAAAACCTGCCAGCAAAATATGTTCACTTTTATTATTCTGGTGCTTGCAGTTTGTACCAAATACCTGAAAAATGCTAACATCTTCCTTCAGCCACCACGAGCAGTAGGGGAAATCCCTCAATCCCCCAAGCTAACCAGACCTGAGGCAGCTGATGCTGGGGATTCCCAGTGACAGCGCACCACTGCTATGTGGGGTCTTTGTGGCTCCGACAGAGAAATAATATTTTAAGGCAGGTTCATAATCTTGATGAACTGACTATGCAGACGGACTTTCTCGCACAAAAATATATTAAAACGACTTTTTACACACTTATCACAGCAAATATAGCAAAGCCACTCTGCCATTGAACACAGGGGCAGCAGACGCATCAGACAAATCTGGACACACTTTACTGAAGCGCTTCAAGAGCACCAAAGATGCTTTTGAGGCGCATCTGACCTTATTGTGTACAAGCATCAAAAATGAAGCAGCAGGTGCTTTTGCCGCTCAAATTTGCTTGTTGTCTGAATGTAGCATAACCACCAACAACAGGGGACACAACTGAGACAGACAGAGACATTAACCCTTACCTCTGTCAACCCATCAAAGAAGACCTGTTAGAGGCTAAAACCCAATTTTCATCAGCTGTTAGAGGCTAAAACCCAATTTTCATCAGCCCTGAAAACTGCACTGAGCAAACCTAAGTTAAACAGAAGATGATTAAGATGTTTAATCCCCTCATTGATCTGGTCTGTTTGAAAACTACATTACTGAATGACAGGTCTTTTTTTTCTGAGGAAAAAAAGGCAGTATAAAATGAACTAGCTGACACCATGCTGTGTGGATGCTCTCTTTCTAATAGGGCCAGTAAAGTAGGAAACAGTTAAAAAGATAATGACTGAACCTTAAAAGATAAACAGATGGAGAGAAGTTTTATCTGCTGGCAAAACAATGAGACAAAACATGAAGCCAGAGATGCACAATGATTTAGATCAAAGCCTTATCCTGTGATGGATCCACTCAGAACCAAGACATTAACTCAGCTAAGGAAAGACTTGACATTTGATGTTCAGGGATGCTCTTTGTAAAACCTGACATAGGTTGAGCTATTTTGCGAAGAAGGATGGAATACTCTAACAAGGCATATCCGTCCATCCACCTGTCAATCAACCCGTCCATCTATCCCTCCCTCCCTCCCTCCCCCCATCCATTCTCCCACCCTCCATCCATGTGGTGTGTTCTGGTCTCCCCCTGCAGCAGTCATTGGGTCTGGTGTGGTATGTCTGACTGGTCAGTAATTCATCACAGAACAAACAGACATGCATGTCACAGAAGCCAGACTCCATATAGAAAGCCTGGATCACCCCCATGACCTTCCTAACCAAAGGCAACACTGCCACCTGATCAAATATCTGTAGGAGGTTCTGAACTTGACGGGTAACGGATGCTTAAAAGTCTGCTGAATAAAACTTGGTGATGAAGACGGCTCCAGTCCTACACAGGCCCAGTGGGTCCACGTCTGTTTGTAGCTAAAAGTGAGAAGTCATGTGACTCTTCATTGACTTCCATTTCATCTTTTAATGTTATTTATTTTTTACTTTTAACAAATAGACTAAAGAAAAAGCAGCATGAACACTTTTAGGTTTGTTCTGTTGTTTTCCCTGGAACAATCAATATCTGCTGCAGAACATGGAGCTGCAGTAAAACGTAACTAAATGTTTGCTAAGCGGGGTCCGCCCTGCACCCAGGGGGCTATGGTTACCTGGTTTCCTGGGTGCTATTGGCGCTGTGCGGCTGACTCTTGGTGGAGTCCGAGGAGTTGGACTCAGAGTAGTTTATGGAGGAAGGGGAGGAGGAGGTAGAGGAGGAGTTAGAGGAGGAGGCGCTGGGGTATTTAATGCTGCTGCTGTGAATCTTTGCCTTGTTGGGCGTGGCGACACCATTACTGCAGGTGGGGCTGTCTGCTCCTGTTTGGGGCAGAAACACACACCTCATTGTCTTAGCACCCTGTGTGTAGGTTGTTTGTGTGTGTGTGTGTGTTGTTTTTTTCTGTGTACCAGTACTGTGGATGTGCGTGCTGCTTGCTGCGTGCCGCGGGCTGAGGCTGGGGGAACCGGGGTAACTGTCCTGGGACTTTGGGGAGCGGACCGTCAGGCAGCAAACCTCGCTGTCTGTGCCGTTCACCATCTCCACAAACTGCCGACATCTAGAAGGCAGCGTAAACGGGGGTTACCAGGTAAGACTGGGACGTTACCCCCCCAGGCTGAAAGCACTCTGCTTCCTGTCAGATTAAACAAATTAAAATACTGACTTACTTCAACATGAAGAGCAGGTTGGGGTTGCGTTCCAACAGACCCGGATAGAGCTGCTGAGTGGCTTCGATGGCTTCCCCGACCCGCCCTGCCAGAACCAGCTTCTGTATTCCTGCTCCACAAAACAGAGTTAATGTTCACACAGCTGGAGGTCAGAACTGTGAGAAACAAAGAGCTGGATGTTTTACTCACTTTGTCTGTTCTTTATAGACAACTGGTCCTCTTGTATTGTGGTCTCTGTGGCTCTGGCGAACGCTGTTGCAGTTGCACAATATCCATGATGCACCAAGTAGCTGGACACCATACTAAGTCCAACACAAAGAGGCATAACATTTTGGACACGTTGTGGATCATCAAGACAAGACGCGATTAAAAGTAAAAGATATAGGTGAAAATTTTAATTGTCTTAAAGGTTTTAACTTGATCACAATGTTGGAGCACTATAGTCCAAATGTTTAGTATCTGTTCTTTTTATAATGTAAAAAACCTTTAAATAAAAATGCAACAAATCTTTATTCAAATCTTTTGCAAACTAATCTCTTAACCTGTCTGCAAATAGATCTTTATTTACAGGAGGTGTGATTGTTTCAAAAAAGCCAGAGTTTATGATCTTTTAAAGTCCTCCTTATTAAATGTCCTCTGAGTACATCGGAATAACTTCTGACCATTGTTCTTGGTTTTGGTCACTTGTCTCAAATTTTCAGTGTCATTTTTGATCATTTTGGTCCATACTGCAACAGAATTTGCTGTTTTTCAAACAGTTATTTCTGGTATTTTTATAAATTCAACTGAAATAGAAAAAACAAACAAAAGACATCAATAGTTAGAACCAAAAGTTATTCTCGAGAGATGTCTGCATCCAAGAAATAAAAAGCCATTGCTCACAAATTAATTTTTAAACTTGATTGTTCAGAAGGGACAAAGAAGCTGTTTGTTCACAACAAGAAGTTTTAGAGGTGTCAAGCTTTTATACCCAAGTGGAGTGAACCAACTCTTAAGCTGCTGTAGCCATTTACTAGCCAGGGATATGTGTAGATTGCACAAACTAAATAAATTAAATGAAAATGTAGGATTACCTCCAAACTCCACTTCTTTACATGAACTTAATATCTGGATGGTTGAAACTGGGCCATAGCCAGGAGTTTAACAGGACAATGATCTCAGGCATACATCCAAACTGGTTGTGGTATGTAGGAAGAAGGCTAAACTTGTGTTTCTATTGTTTCAACCACAGGAAAAAAAATATTTTAATAAACTCTACTCTCATAAGTCAAATTTTCAGCCAGAAAAATGCCTGAAGCTTGGAGACGGTTAAAAATAAAACAGAGGGCCAATCCCTTATGTGAAGAAAAAAAAACATCTCTTCTTGTATATTAATTCCAACCTGAAGGAAAATGTACTAAATAAATCATTAAAATACTCAAATTGATTTTATAATTTTCACATCCAAAATTCACCAACTTCTCAGCTTATTTCTGATTTTCCACGTTTAAAAGAATCTAATGGCAGCAGCATAACATAGCAGCAGAGATGTAAATGAGATTTACATTTCTGTGAACATCTAATGGCTGCTCCAATAAAAAAAAAGAATTACTTTAATTCGTATGACATTTATATGAGTTTTAATGGGGATGTACTGTGGGGGATGTAAGTAGATCTTACTTCTGCAGGACGGCCTGCCACTCCCCCAGCCGCTCGCCGATGGGGAAGCTGGAAATCATTCCGTGGATCTTCGCCCGCCACTCGCTCATGTAGTCCTCGATGTCAAAGACAAATGGCTGCTGGCCGAAGTTTGCATCTACAATCTCTCCTGGCGTCTGAAGCCCCACGGTGGGATACAGGTTAGGCTGGAAGAGTTTCATATAGTAGTGGGTGAGAAGGATCCAAACTGAATCAGGACATTGAGTATTTGTCTAAATTTAAAAACCGTTTTTTTCTGCTACCAACTTCAGGAACTGATATAAAACAAGTAATTTAACCCAAACTGTATTATTATTTTTTTTCGTGTAGCACCATATCACCAAAACAAAGTCCTCATTCGTGTAAAAGGCTACTTCTCAGTGAAAGTTTTTCTGGCTGTAATTCTTCCTGCTACTTCTTACAACCACAAGGCAATAGCAACAAGTATCATTTCAGCACTAAAATAGATCCTAACATTGTTGAAAAATTTAGCAATGTAATATATGGGAGGTTTCTCCACCTCTATCATCAGTTTTAGCTCTACTGATAAGGAGGAAACAAAAGTTGTATTTCAATCAGTGGAAGTGGTGCTGCAGCTTCTGTAAAGGTTATTTTACTGTAAATATAGCTCTGGTCTATTAAATGTTTGCTTGTATAAAAACATGTGCTAACTTATTAGCACACGCAAAGGTGATTTAATAAACGGATGCGCACATGATTTTTGTCTCTGAAACGAGCAGAACCGCAGGAGCAGAAGATTTTAAACAGTTGCCTTAATAATTTAGAAAAACATATGCTGATCATCAGAACATGCAAAGTACTTGGAGGAGGATATGGAAATGCTTTTACTTATCACCTAAAAAGTAATTTATTAAACTTGAAACAGAATGGCAGTGTACTTTCATCACAAAATAAAATGCCAGGGCTTTTTTAGAAAACCAACCTTTGCACAATTCGGAGGCGTGTGTACCTCCTTCTGGATAGTAGCTTATTCACACAGGAGTGGAATAGGTCACTTTGGCTTAAGCACTATAGATTATTCATTTTCTCGATTACATGTTTTTCATTACAGCCAGCACAGCAGCAGGATTGCTGCACTTGCACCATTAACTAGCGTATATGTCTAACTGCCCAACATTAAGAATATTGTACGACTGCTAACAGCAAGGATCAGTAAATCATCACACCGTCCCAACAGAGTTTTTATACATGCTCAAAATAGGTGACAACATTAATCTACTTTTTCTTTTACCTATTTTTTTGCCTCCTACTTGTTGGGCCCTGGACTGTTTTGAGCTAATGATGTATTAAAGCAACACTGTGTAACATTTAGCCACTAGGGGCACTAGACTTGCCTCCGGTTTTAGCTTGCCTGAACAAAAGACTAATATTGATCTGTTACAATGCTGAACATTCAAAGTCAAGGAGATACTTGTAAAGACAAGGCCACATTCATACATCTTGATTACATCCTACACCAGAGAACCGAAAATATATCTATATAAAATATATCTATATAAGGTAATTGTCATAATGTCTTTCTATTTTTTGGAAATTACCTACTTTTTAGTGTTAGCCCTAATTTTTTAAGGGAGCTTAAACTGCAATAAAGCGGCACTCTTGATCACATGACTCTTTAAGTGACGGCTCTCACCCTCTCATGTGAGTTTTTGAGAAGGGCAGCCAGCACAGAGCATTGATACGTGCCAAATGATGTATCTTTGCCTGAAAAACCATTTAATATATCTCAAGTTAAGCTAATAATTGGGTTAAAAGTTACTTTAAATTTTATCTTAAACCAAAAGAAAGAAAGAATTTCAAACTTGATCCCCCCCCCCCAATAAAGACTGAAATCTAAATTCAATGACAGCTGACATCATACAAGTCTCTTTCTTAGCTCAATTTTGGGCTGGAGTTTCTTTCCTGCACAAGAAAAAGATACGTAAACCAAAGGAGCCCCGTTTTATATACAATTAAGCAAAAGAAACTAGAGCTCTGAGTCTTGAAACTGGTTTTTCAAACTCTGGGATAATTAGTACAAACCCATGAGTGAGAGCATGAGTCATCTGGGTCATTTCAAAAAAGTTTTTAAAAAAGCATTTTCCATGAAGGGTCAGCGTGTCATGGTTGGACTATATTCTGTGGTTTTGGAGATTCTTTAAAAAACAACTCATAATGACCATCATTTATTTCCATAGACACTTTAAATACCTTTTAAAGAAGTCCTTATATTTCTGTTTGACTGTTAGATAGAGTCTGGATCTAAAAAGTTATTGAAAAAAAGGCTTTTAACCTGGCTGCAGAGTTGCACTGCTGTCATTGCAAAGCTTTATAAATTTATCAATACATAAATTAAAGCAAAATCGTTACAAAACTTTTATCCAACTCCCATCTGAGGTTCTTAAAAGGTCAAAGCTAAAAATCAAGGCAAGGATGTTTATTAAAATATTTAAAAAACTAGGGATGTACCAATCCAAAACATATTTATTTATGATTCAGTACAAATGTAGCAGCTAGGGGTGAAAATAATAATCTTTAAGTATCGTTGCATCGATCCAACAGCCAATGATCCAATATATCGACACGTCCGCAAGAGTATCGATTCATGTTCTTTTTTTCCACTGGTCTATTTTTATCTATTTGCTCCTGGGCGTAATTGTGACTCCCGTGTTGAGGTAGTGCTAAACCTATTTTTCCCTCCTACCTTGCTTCGTTTTTGCCACTACCCTCTTTTCACTTGCAGTATTTTTTTGATTCATGGCCTTTCAGAAACTAAAACACAGAGGCATTATTATTTTTCGGTGAATGAGGTTTTCATAGGCCTAGGTGGAGTACAACTTTGCTACTTCTGTTATTTGCTGTTGTTTCTCATATAAAACGCTATTACAGCTTTCATTGATTTATTTCAAATTTGAAACATTGTCTGGCTTGAAAGGTAAAAAAAAAAAATTATAATTTAACCAATTAATCGAATCGAATCATATCGTGGTGTATTCTTTCCTATCGAAAATAATTGAGTCATTGGGTTAGGAATTTGATACTGAATCGAATCGCCAGTAGCAGCTTTGAGTGCTGACCAATGCTGTTATAGACCGAATACACCATATCAGCATGGATCATGCATTGTTTTATAACTTAATTTCTAGTGTGGACAGTTAGAAAAGGTCTGATTAAGTGATGATACTCAAACAGAAATCACTCATTATCAACAATAGGCATGAGAACAACTGACCTGTGCATTATTAACTAACGGGTTCAATAAACTTTAAACAAAAGAAAAGAGTTTCCCTCACCTTCCTTATATCGAAGATTTTACATGCAGGCCAATAAATTCTGGTCTATGTCTTTTGGCTTACCGGTATATCAGACAGTTTTATGATATTAATATCAGATTGGGACATCCCTATGATAAACATCTATAATCCTGTAATAATATATCTTACTTAAAAAAAAAAATCTCTTAGACCAGCAATACTAAACGTTATCTTTGAATCACACTGATCAATAGCTCTAAGCTGTCTTTAACTGACCTTTCAAGTTGGATTGAATGGATATAAAGACGCTCTTTGCATTTTCTATCAGCAGATTCCATTTTACAGAGAAAGCTGTTGGCCTACAACCATAACCTCACCATAATTTACATGTAGGGGATATCTTGAGAAATCAAGTAAGATTTAATCAAAGACTATAAATAAAGAAGGGTGAGCCAAGCTCTTTAAATCTTTGAGAAAAAAAAAATAAAAAATTGAGAATGAAAGTCTCCAACAGTGCTATTAGGTTGACGTTTTTATCTGGGATTTTAAAATGTTGTTATTAATGTTGGAAGTGGAATTACATTCCTAAACCTTTTATAGATACTAGCGTTAAACTACAGTAAATTAAGTTGAATGTTTCTTAATACTTACAGGAAGGTCCGTGAAGGCAACACCTGCAGGAATTAAGCAGAAAGAAGGTAAAAGTTTGTAATTCTTTCATTAAAGCAAACTGCAATGGCGCCAATAAAGCAAACTGAGGGACAACCTAAACTGATGCCATTTTTGGTGTAAAAGCAGGTGTTGTTGATGAGGTTGACACAGCAGCCAATCACATCACCCGTGGTGAACGTCGGCCCATACGGTTGGCCCGTCCCAGAGGAGCAGAAAGAGTGGCCATCATCTCCATGGTAACCATATGAGTGCTTGTCCCATCCTTAAAGAAGATAAAGATGGAGGTCAGATTTTGTACCTTGGGCCTGTGAAAAAGCTGCTTTTCAATAAACAACAGTGCTGGCTTCTACTGAGCATCGTTTCCTATGTATCTCTATATATTAGTGGTGGTAGCCTTCTGCTAAAAGGAGGGCTGGGAGTGCTGCAAGTTATCTTGTACAAATCCCACAGCGGCAGCCCACTGTTTCAAAAGGGATGAGTTAAAATTAGAGAAAAGAATATAGTAAAAAAAAAAAAAATACAATGATAAATAAAGATGATTCCAAAAACTGAAATAACTAGTAACAGCAGGGTATAAATCTGAACGGGAAATAAACTGCAGAAGGGGAGGGGGTTGGAAGTGGTTACTCATCGACTCAGATTTTCCTCATCTGACTGCTGCTGCTGCTGCAGGGCAACTTATGAAAATTCACACAAACACAGACACTCTCTGCGTGCGCCAGCGGCCTGCAGTGCCCTGGACATCCAGCAGGAGGACTTTGTCTAAGAAAAGAAACTGGTGAGTCACTGCTGACAGGAACAACAGCTTAGGAGGCAGAACCAAAGCCAGAACCCAAAAAGGAGTATGTCATTGTGTCCTGACAGTATTTCTTCCTACTGTTGTTTACATGCAAATGTTGGCAGTTTAGAGGCTTTTTAACTCATGTTCTTTTCTGTCCAGCTTCATTGATACAATGTTGACAAACTGTTGATAATTACAAATACAATATATGTAATACACAAGATTTCAGATGGATTCCAGCCTCATTATCAAAATGGCCTCAGCTGCAAGATACTACTGCTGAGAAAATCCAAGCTGAAAGAACAGATTTCTGAATCAAGAAATTCAACTTGACTGGTTTAGCTGCAGAGAAGGCTTCAGGATCTCTGCTTTGGATCCAGCAAGAACCGACAGGACTATAGTTGCCACCAGTGCAGAGCTTGGTCTGTCTGCAGCTGCTGGGTATAAGCTCACCTGCAGTAGACATCTGGACAACAAAGATCTCTTTCATTATTATCAATTTTTTGGAAATCTGGTGTAACTCAATACATATTTGAAATGAATCTAATGTTCACAAATAGAACATATAAGGACATGCTTAAACATGCAAAAAAAAATTTTTTTGTGCAAAAATCTGCTGCAGATTAAGTAATACTGCCACATTCAGAAAAAAAACTAAATACATTATCTGAAAAAAATACACAAATATTCTGTTTTCTGAGCAGAGTTAAGTTTGTAGCTGAACGGCAGCTAGAGTACTTTATGGGTAAACATGAACGTGTAATCTAGCCTAAAATAAACTTGTATGTATTTATAAACCAATCTTACAAAGTACAGACATAACTAGACACACTGATTTTGCCACCACCTCCAACCATGAAATAAACTTAAGCCTATCCGAGTAAAACCAGAACAATCTTTGTTATTTTAATCCAAACTAAACAGTTAAAGTTAGATGAACTGATTCATTATCTATGTGATAAACAGCATTCTGACATCTGCAGGAGTATTTCCTTGCAGCACGAGGAACCTATTCAATTTGCCAACATCAGACCGTCCCTCTGACTGGTTTGGAATAAAGTTCTACACTAAATCGAGTTTTGAAGGAATTTTTCTTCGTGAATCGTCTGGAGTTTGAGGCGACCTGAAGCCACAGGCGTTGTGCTCACTCTGTCAGCATTTGACCTCATCTGCTGCAGGCGCATTGTTGACAAAAAAAGCAAAGCAGGGTTAGGAAAAGTAGGTCATTGGACAACGCAGATTTTAGCTGCGTACTTGAATATGTGCAAATATGAACCTGTAAGCATGTACTAAAGTATTAATCTAAGCTGAAAAGCATGTTTGTATTCACATGTTCTCTGTACAGTGGTGTTTTCCTTTGTGCTTGGGTACATATTGTCCTTCCTCTCGCCATGGGTTCTGCTGTCCCCTATGTGACTATACCCCTCTCCGTCTAAGTGTGTGTGTGTATTTGTGAAAGGTATTAGATTAATCTGCTGACAGGGATATTGCCTCTAAAGCCAGGCTCACTGCTCCAACATGCTAATGAAATGGGCAAGCCTCCACAGCACAATCACACACACAGAGGTCAGTAGTGGAGAACAGTCTAAGGAAAAGGGAGTTCTGGATGAAAGTAATGAAATTTCTTTGGTTGGCATTTTTTTTCTTTACATGTTTTACATTGTGATTTATTACAGAAGAGATGCTTCTAAAATCAACTGGGTGGAAAGGGAAGCAGAGGAGTTCTGTTGATATATTGCAATTTGAAAATAATCTACTCTATATAACATAAGTTATGGCCAACTTATAAAATGGAACCCTCACAGGTGCAAAAAAATCACATGTCCATGATTAAAGAATCATAACTCAGTAATTTGGAGAAGGGTTGTCCTGTTTTAAGGCTAAGATATGTAGTATGGTGCCATCTGACTGTTGAAGTAAAGAGTTACCATCATGGTGAAATCTAAACAGCTATGTGAATCCTTTAGGAGAATGCTATCTGGTTAGGGATCTAAAGAGATCCTGTGGTTTTGAAATCAGACATGTTACTTTATTTAAAAATTCTAAGCAGAGGACATAAAGAACAACTGCTAATATGCTCAGGTGTGGGTACCCCACACCTGAGCATATTAGAGATTTTAGAGATAGTTTCTTTAATAAAACTGATTTATATTAATTCCCTGCATTTTCTAGTTCTAGTTCTCCAAGTTTCTATTGCTACTTTTAAGTTTACCCCTTTTCGGTTTGAATGGTTTTTAAGCATGCAGCAAAACATCATTTAATTCTGTTTTCTCCTGGTCAGTTAACTTCACTCCAATTCAGTACCACACCTATTTATGGAGCGGGACAGTAGAGATTCTCTGTTAGAAAGTTAGATTCCCAGCTATTTGGAGTACAATTTCTCAAATTTTCCCACAGCAAGAGAACACACCTTTGTTTTTATATTTAGTTTTACAAAAAGAGTAAAAATAAAATTAAAAAAAAGCTTACATTTTTATGGTTAAATCAAATTACATCACTATTTTCCACACATTAAATCTGAGATTAAACAACTTGGGCATGAAAAATTCTTTTGACAACTGAATTTTTTTAGTGCCACATGATTGTATTAAAATTTAATAAATTCCCCCAATCCTATAACCTATATCTAAATCCTTTAACCTGAAGGTTAGAAAAAAACAAAAACAAATGAGGACCAGCAAAATGTCCTCACTTTGGTACAGATGGTCCTCAATTTAATAGTGACATATATCTGCCGAGTTTGGGAGCGATACATGCTGCTATATGCAACCACACTGGGTCAGACTGAGTTAGGGTAATTGACAGTAATCTGTCTACCAGGGCAACAGACCATCTGTGATGGAAAACCAGCTACTAAAAATAATTTTAATAAATGAAGGCAGAGCAGGTTTTAGTCCATCCCCTTTGTCCATCTGTCAGTCCATCGCTTCCCCATCCGTTCTAGTATTAAGGGCTGGTTATACTCCCTGCAGCAGTGAGTTTGACAGAGACATTTTTGATTTATGCTCAATTTTGATCGTGGTCTGCGCTATACGCTGTGGGTCTAGATACGGCCGAGGCGGTGAGAAAGTGGGGGCAAGTTTGTGCGACAACGGAGTGACATGAGGGTGAAAAAGAGCGGGGATCCAGGTGGAAAAAGGGTCCCAGCATTCTCACGCACCTCGCTCTTCTAGCTGGTCCAACTTCATGAGTTGTTTTCCGCAATTGCGGTCATAAAAACAAAAACAGCCGGCCTCCTGCCTGCGGTCACCTACAATTTGCGAGAGGTGCAACAGAGTGTCTTCGGAGGGGGCGGGGACGTCTTTGCGTTTACTGCTACACCTTCGCAGACGACCTAGTTTCGAAGTATAAATCAGCCTTGATTCTTGAAAAAAAGATTTTAGGAGATTGGGTGGTCCTTGTGGAACTGTTGAACTAGGTTTCTCTGGTTTCTATAGCAGTGCACAAAGCTCTGAAACAGGACTGATTACAAGATCATATAGGATCAAAATGTGTAAACTCTCAGTCATGCAAGTCATGGCAACCACAAACAGGCTTATATTGGAAGTAAATCGGACTTTCGCACAGTTTTTGAAAATGTTTCAAGACCTGTCCAGGTTTCTGTTTTTTTGTTTGGGCTAACAGTATTGACAAGACTCCTGGATAGGCGTTGAAATGTCTTAGCATTTGTAGGATCATAGCTTCACACCTTAATTTTTTAGTATTTAGCTTAGTTAATATTAATAATTGAACTTTATTGATCTCACATTGGAGAAATTTACCTCTGCATTTAACCCATCCCCTTGGGGAGCAGTGGCTTGCCATCGTGGGGGGCCGGGGGACAATTAAAGGAATAGTACACCCAAAACATGATTAGCCTTCATTTTCTACTCACCACCATGCTGAACAACACTCTGGAGTACTTTTTTGATATCTCAAATGTATCTGGAGATCTGGGAGGCTTCTTGCTGTCTGCTGACATTCAAATAATGGAATGTCAGCACTTTTGGGCACTTTCATCTGGTTTGGTCTGCCGGCTTCCGTAGCGTCGTGAACGTGCAGGCTTGCGCTTTCAGGAAATCCTATACACTACTGTTTATGCTCTAAAAACATTCTAAATGACTTTGTTTCGAGTAAATTCTGGATGCTACCCACTCAGGACACTTGGAATACATTGGACGAGCAGTATGGAGGAATATTGACACGTTTTTTGTGGACTTTTATGGACCTTTCTGTCTCGGGCACCGTAGACCTCCATTATTTGAATGTCAGCAGACAGCAAGAAGCCTCCCAGATCTCCAGATGCATTTGAGATATTAAAAAAGGACTCCAGAGTGTTGTTCAGCATGGGGGTGAGTAGAAAATGAAGGCTAATCATGTTTTGGGTGTACTATTCCTTTAAGGGTTAAGGATCTGAAGTGGCAGTCTTTGGGAGTGAGTTTTGAACTCACAACCTCAGGATTCCAAGCTTTGTGCCCTAACTACTAGGTCTCCACTCCCCGGCAAAAAAAGAGAAGAGTATTGTTTTGTTTTTTTTTTACCTTACTGAACAATGCCCAGGCCCTAACCCGTGCACTTCCCTTGCTCACCAGGGCCCACCTCATTCAGTCGCATTTTTCAAATATTAGAAGTGGGCAGAGTAATAGCCCTTATAGAGAGGGCACGGTTTGAACTAAGCTTCGTTCAAAACCTTAGTGCTGGCCTGGCTAAACTAGCAGGTGTTCTTTGGTGGTCAACAGCAAAGTACTAGCATTAGCCTAACTACCGGTAGTTAGAAGAAAATGATAGAAAAAAAAATTTGCGAAAAGGAAGAAGAGACTGCGTGTGAACAAATTCCCAGTGGCAGGCTGAAGAATTCTGGCTTTATGATTAATTCCAAATTTGCAAACTTGGAGATTTCACACATGCACAGTTTTAACTTCTCCTTCATTTTGTTTCTTGCTTTTTCCAGCTTATGACTAGATGTCCTGGTTTCTATTGGCCCTATGTGCATAACCTAAAGTTGAAATAGGGTGAACTTGGGCTGAGGTGTGCAAGGGAGATAGCAAAGCAGTATTTATAAACAAAAATAGTTTTCAATAGAGCAAAAAAAATTAAAATAAGTACATTTAATATATATTCTATTCATTTATCTTTTACTTCCCAATAAGTAACAAGATATAAAGATTTTTGTTAGGTCAAGTTAAGAGAAAGGTGCCAAACAATTTTGGGCTTCCATGTTTATTTCAAAGGTCTTTTAATTATTTGTCCAAGTTTTAGAAGTAAAATCTCCACATGTGTCGTGGACTGCATTTGCCGAACTAATCTAATTAACTGGTTGGTTACTCATACATGAGTTTTAAAGTTATTCCTTTCTGATATAAAATGTGATTTTTTTTTTAAGAGGCTAAAAGCAGTTTGACTTAAATCAGATTAGTATGAGGTCACACTCTGAGCTGCAGTTCACATCATCTGTCACTAATCCATGGGACCTCTGGGGATGGTGACATGCCCAAACATGTTCTCTCTGTGGCTGTCAAACGATTTATTCTACCAGTGACATGCAGTTATTGAAAAGCATTCACACAAACCCCCTTCTTCTCCCAAATCTAATGAATTTAGACACTTGATCTGCCTCAGTGTCTTTAATTCACCTGCACACAGTTTAAAAGCACCACTGACTTTAGCTCTAAAAATCTTAACGCCCTGAATGAAAACAATGACCAACAGTTTATACTCAGCACTTTCCCAGAGTTGCCACACTGATGAGAGCCCCCCTGTTCTCTGAAGTTTAGGCTACAATGCTTGATTGTAATCTGAGCTGATGAAGTTACAGCCCAAAAAAGTAATTAAGATTTCAGGGCCGAGGTTTGGGGCGGCCTCTGTTTTTTTTTAATTGTGCAGTGCAGACTGCACTGTGAAGGACTAGAAAGGAACAAAAGAAGAGGATGTTTTTCTGGCCAGCCAGCCGACGTTGCTGATATCCTGGCTCAGGCCCAGAGAGCCAATATTATGTTTAGACAATGCCATCATAAAATCTTGCCCCATGTTTATTTGAGGTGACCTTCATGCCAGACCATCTGGTTGACCTTTCATCAATAATCTTATCCCAATATGGATGTGTTATTTTCCATCTTCCTACTGGTATTGTTAGAGGCATAATTCCCAGGGTACTCACCAGGCAGTCTGTTCATGTTGACTCCCTGTGCAGACAGGCCGATGCCCATGTACCTGCAGAAAAACAGGAAGAAGGATTTTTCTTACTTATCACCAAGTGTTTATATTCAGAGCAACTCCTTCTCCGTCTTTCACCGGGGAACAAAATATTCAGATAAAGCTCGTGTCTGATGAGTAAGAGGCTGAAGGAGCTGTGAACATGACGTCTCTGAGCTCCTATTGTTTGCAGAGCAAGCTGCCTCCTGGGGAGGGCAAACATTAAAAGTTGTTGCTATTACACAAGCTGAGAGGTCAGCGGAGAGCTCTTCAAAACTGTTAGAGGACGAGCTGTTAGTATTCTCACTGAAAAAAAAATGGAATAAGCTTTTTACTAAATCTAAATAACTCAGACAGAGATCATCACAGAGATAACTTCAGTAAATATCAGTATGACACCAAAGGCTCGTCAGTTTAAGTGTCCATGGATGACGTCGCCAGGTCTTCTGCCTGTGGCTGCTGCCCAATCGTCTTTGTGCTGGTCCCTCATGGTTCCCTCTTTAGGTGGTGCGTCCACTGGGGGATCACCTTGTTACCTTCCTTTGGGCATGGCCCGGCAGTGTCCCATCAGAAGGAATCTGCCCAACTAGCGGAGGACCTCGATTTTAAGGTAGATTTTGTAAGAGGCCTATATGGGGTTGCTGGAGAGGAGAGTCTGGCTAATTGTTGAACCTCGGCTTCAGAAGGAACAGTGTGGTTTTGTCCTGACCTTGGAAAACTGGACCAGCTCTATATCCTCTGCAGGGTTCATAGGAGTGTGCCTAACTGGTCCACATGTGCTTTTTGGACCTGGAGAAGACATGGTGTTGTAACGAGGATGTCTTTTGAGGGGGGGACTCCAGGTGTGCAGAGTCGGGGACCCTTTATTAGGAGCCATACGGTCTCTGTCACCGTTCCTTTTGATAGCTTAATGGACAGGATTTCTAGGCAGCTACAGTCAGAAGGGGTTTGGTTTGGTAACAAGCAAACTTCCCTGCTTTTTGCAGATGACATGGCGTTCTGAAGAACGCCATGTCATTAGAAGACCTAGAGTGTGCCCTCAGGTGGTTCGCAGACAGGTGTAAGGGCCCTTGATAATAGTAAGCACCTCCAAGGTCATGATCATAACCAGAAAAAGGTGACTTGCCCCTTCAAATTGGAAGGGAGTTCCTGCCTTAAGTGGTGGAGTTCAAGTGTCTTAGGATCCTGTTCAGGAGTGAAGCCAGAATGGAGTGAGAAATCGATAGATTGATCAGGGCAGCTGTAAGTATAATGCACAGGCTACACCGGCCTGTTGTGGTGAAGTGAATAGAAAAAGCTATGGTTCTTCCCTCACTTATTGTCATGAAGTCTTGATCATGGCTGAAAGAAAAAGATTGTGGATATAAGCAGCTGGAATTAGCTTTCTCTGCAGGGTACTGTAGCTGGGAAGTCCCTTAGAGATATAGGGTGAGGAGCTTGGTCATCTGGAGTAGACCTGCTGCTCCTCCATATCCAGAGTCACCTGATATATTTTCATGATGGCTTCTGGTTACCTCCCTCAGGAGTGTCCCGCACACATTGCTGCCCTCTCTCTGCAACATTCTCAGACAACTCTAATTTGCATTATTTCCTGTTCATCTTTAAACATGTTGTTCTATCTCTGCTTCCCTCTCTTCATAGTAGCCACCTGCAGCCTGGTGTTGTGTTTAGCTGTGATGCTTCATGGTCTGGGCTGCTGCTGCTAACCCATTCATGTTCCTTATAGATGATCCACTTTGGTCCCATGTTTTAATGGTTAACACTGTCTTTTTCTCTCAGATATACCTTCTGGCTGAGCTTTTGCTGTGACTAACTTTATCTGCTGCCTCTCATCTTATGGACTTGAAAACTGACTCAATGCTCGTTTGCTTAGCTTTTTTTCCCCTCTAGATGAAGCCACTATAAGTACTACTACTGCCACAAACAAACCTGATTCATTGTTTTGTGCTGTCTTTTTTTCTTTTCTTTTTATGGCTGTATTTGTTCTGTCTTCTCAAATTCCCATCTGGTGTCAATGGCCGCTCACACTGATCCAGGTTATGGTTCAGTTGGAGGTTTCCTCCTGCTAAAGGGGATTTTTTCTCCACTAATGCTGCACAGTTATCCAGGAGGAGTAAATTCTTAAGTCAATGAGTCGATGCAATCTACCAGATTTCCATGGAGATATTTTTTTAACCATTCTGTATAACAAACTGAATATAACTGCATATTCTGAAAACTAGAATCAGTTGAAATGTAAGCTTGACCCTAATCTGTCTGAATGATTTTAAATGAAATGCTGTTTCTTTGTTAGGTGCCTTAAGATGAGTTTTTTTTTTTTTTAATTGAGTACTTTTCAATTATTTTTGGGTTAATCAACTTCCTACTGTGTGGCTCATTGGAGATTTTCAACTTGCATAGAGACTCTCATCAAGACATATGGACCTCAACAAACCTGCTATATCCTATGAATAAATTTCCTATTGTCTAAAGATCTTTTTTTTTTTTTGTCTTCTGTCTCTTGTTTGTCCAAGATGGAAAAAAATGTCTCAAATTTTTAAAACTTGGCACAGTATATATACATCTGTATTTTCCTTAGCTTGACATTCAGCTTAAAAATTAAAACTTGAATTTAATGTGAAACTCTGATTATGTGTGTTGTTTTTAAAAACTGTAACCCAGATAATGCAATAAATAAACTGTTATGTAGGCAGGTCATGACCTCAAACACCTCATCAATCCATGTCCTCAATGATTTAATGGTAAAAAGAAGAAATAAAGGCTTTAGAAAAGGAAAAAGTGTGCTCTTTTTTGAAAGACCTACAGATCTTAAAACCAGGAAGAGATCAGCATCTTCAAATTAAATATTTAATCATTATCTGTCTACAGCGTAGACAGGTCTCCTGGCCATCTGACCCAGATTTGGGTTACTCTCTGTATAAAACTGGGTCAACCTCCACATTATGATGATTCTGGTTCTGTTAGGAAGAAGCTTTGGATTTTCGGTGAGCATAGACTCTCCAGTGACAGATTTGTCCCTCGGATTTGATGAGGAAGAGATTACAGCTAAATCTGCCAACTTTTGAGTCGTCCTATTTTCACTTCAAATCTACATCTGTAAAGTTTACCTTTCTTCTAAAACAAAACATACAGCCAATCAACAAATCAGTTTAAATGGACTGTTCTTTTTTGTTTTTTTTTGTCCAGTGCAGTCAGTTAAAGGTATAGTGGACGACGTTCTTTTTTCAGGAGGATCATCAAAATAGGTGGTCCTCCTAATCGTCAGTCATTCTGATGATATGTTTATGTAAGGCCGTCATACGTGCTCCAGTCTGACATAGTGGAAAAATTGCAAATGTTCTTTTGGAAAGTAGGCTTGTATGAGCGAAGCAAAAAGCAACTTTAAACAGAGCATGCACAAGTAAAACTGGGATTGTGCATGGTGTTGCACGTGTTTGATGAGCGTTCCCTCTCGGGAGCCAAGCCGAGAGGGCGGGTCTTTTCTAAAATTTGCGAAAATCCTCCACTATACCTTTAAACTCTGACATTTGCTTTAACTAATAAAACAGGTAAAAGACTCAGTTAATAAAAGTTTTCTCATCTGATCAGAAGGTGAACACAACACACCTCATAATGGGTGTTTCTCTGATTACGGTCAAAATAGATGTAGGCAGTGTAGATTTGCATTGTATTAAAAAATTCAAGGTTAACATTTGCTGTATTTTAACAAGGTTTTTTAACAACACTGACATAGTTGATTGTTACTTAGTCACTGCCCCCCTCAGACCGCCACCAGGGTTCTAAAATATTCCTAGAGGAAACTTTGTGATATTATTTCAAATGTTTATATCCATCCTATTGTCATTTATGTGTAGCATTTCAGTAATGGTCAAAAATCATTGAGCCATTAAGGCAAACTACCCAAAAATATACTTGTGAACATTGGGTATTGACCATTACATCAATGCAACTAAACTTACTCAGATAGAAGGTTTTTAAACAGTCTGTTAGTATAATTTGATTGAAATGACTCTTTAAAATGCCTTGAGGTGAATTGGTGCTGTGTAAATAAACTGAATAAGATATATAGATATATATGTTAGCCATACATTTTTACACTGATGCCCCTGTAATGAAAAGAGGACAAGGAATCCTTTTAATGATTACATCGGAGCCAGTTCAGTTCTTTCCCCAGAGCAACACTTTGAATTAAATCAAGTGGACAAACTAAATTTGTTCCAGCCTAAATGGGTTTTGTTACAGATATTGGATGTTTGGAATTGCAAAACAGGTTTAACAGTAAAAAATAAAGATGGTGCGATAAAGTGAATATAAAAATTTGTTTGTTTGACTACTTAAAAAAACCCAACTCTAATCGAACACAAAAGAAAAGAGGAAGTAAAGCAACATAATCCTTACATCGAGCAGTCTGTAGGGGCTAAAGCAAATGTAAAATACATTTATTCAATTAAAATTCATGAGTGTCCTTATGGTTCCAGGGTAAAAATGCTGTTGCTGTGGTAATACAGGATACAAGCCCAGTTGTTTCTGCTTACCCATCTCGACCTTTACTGACAATCTTCACTTCAAAGTAGTAGATCCCACAGGCAGCAGGGATTGGGTGTGTGGCTCGCACTGATGCTGCATCCTTATGGTTCTTCCCGTGGCCTGCAAAACACAAGGACAATATGAAGAAAGTGTATTATTCATTAATTTGTTAACCATTCACTATGTTCATAATAGCCATTCATCTACGTTCCTTTGGGTAGATCTGACTGATTGTTATATGATTATTTTTACGTGTATAAAATATTTCAAAAGTCAAAAGCCTGACTTTTTTCTGTTTTTAAAAGCATAAAGCATTCAAATCATTTCCCTGCATGTCCCTTAATTACTTTTACTTTCATTTAACTTAATTCAGATGAAGGTTAGGGAATATCAGAGCCATGTGAAAGCTTTACTTTGTCTAATGTTTTAATTTTGTAATCACAAACGTGTATTTTCGGGGTATTATATATTTCAAATCAACACAAAGTAGTGAACTGTTGTGAATTGGAACAAAAGGGATTTTTGGTAAGACTGGGTGGAAGATGGATAGAGCTGAAAGCAGAGACACCTGTAAGAGGCTACAATAGAACTTAGACTGAAGGTTCAGCTTCCAGCAGAACAACCACCCCTAATCGGCATGTAACCCACAGATTCTGCATCCACTGTCTCCGCTCCGCTCAACTCCACTCCAGCCTGCTTACGTACGTCGTGCGGAGCACTTGTGCATTCATGTTAATCAATGATTACTGTTCCACATCCACCACTACTACTCCGCATGTTGCCATCCATCTTCTCCGTCCTTCCCATCAAAATATAGAGCCAAGCTACTTTCTGCTCCGCTCCTGTCCGGCCAGGTCAAGATCCGCAATTGCGATCACACCAAACAGGACAAAGAATGTTGAGAAGTTCTGGTTTGTCAAATTAAAATATGGTAACGATAGATCGGGAACTACAAATTAGAGCATAATTCTTATATATTCCCAAAAACTAAGAGCGTTCCATTAAATTATTTGATGCAATCTATTGGTATTTCAACATACCAGGAAGCACATTTCTCATCTCGTTCAAAATATTTATTTTATACTGATAGGCTTAAAAGTTTAATCAATTGCAGTCACAACAACTTCCAAGAGCGCATCTGACAAATTCAAAACAAACTTCCTATCGCAGGCATGGATGAAGATTACTGAGTTTGGAAGTACAGAACAAAGCAATTTTATATTATCCTAATTATCCCTATTACAAAGACCTACACTGAAAAGAAAGTGTTTGGGCAGAAACATGTGTGATTCATGCTAATGGTGAGTTTTAATTATGTCATATTAAATTAAGCACTAATTTCCGCTTGGTCAAAATCTAAACCTAAATGCAATTTCAAATTTGTAAAAGAAAATAAAGCAAAGAATTGATTAATTAATTAATTGAAGATTGATTAATCTTTTCGATGGACTAATGATTAATTATAAGAGGCCATTTTCTGAAAACCCTGGGTTTTCTCTTTTACCAAGTGGATCTTTCAATAAAATAAAGGGCTGAATATGTTTTTACAATACGTAGAGTTAAGAAAGGTACATCATTATATAGTAGATTTTAAGTTATTGTGCCGGCTGTATTATGTACTGAGTGAGTTAACAAAAAAATAATTTCTTGCATGCCATTGAATGTAACTGTAAGACATATCAGCAAAATATGCTTTGCTATAACAGAAAAGGAACATATGAGGTTACTGACAAAAAAAACAAATGCATATATACGTATATATATACATATATATACATATAAATATATACATATATATATACACATATATATATATATATATATACAT